GCAGACCCTGCATATTCTCCGAGAGGTGATGCTCGTACCATGTAAGCTTCTGTGCATGTGGGGTTCCGTCGCCTGCCAAGCAAAAGATCAAATCTGGACCAAAAACCCTCAACCTTCAACCGTGAACCCAACAAAACTCGACATTTTCAAGCTCAGTGTAAGTCCCGAATCCTCCGTTGCTAGCCCTCAGCCCGCAAGGACAGCCGAGCTGCTGCAGTCGCAGTTGCCTCCTGGGTCTTTGGTATCAGGAAATCTGGGTGAATGGGCGCCTGAGTGGGAAGAAGCTGCTCCGTTGTTTGATTTCGGGTGTTTGGGGTTCGTGGCACCGGGTTTTGAGCCTAGGTTTTAGGGACTAGGGCTTTGGGGTCAGAGGTTAGAAGTCTTTCGGTTTAGATTCGTGACACCTTGCAATTCGAAGTCTAGAAAAGTTGTTCAGGGGGATCTTCCTAGAAAAGTTGTTCAGGGGGATCTTCCGATCTGCACGGACAGCTGCGATGTTCCGTCCATGACGATCTAAATACCAGCATCGTGGCTACTTTGTCCCTAAGCTATTCGATGTCGATACTTAGATCCTTTACTATCGACCTTAAAGGTGCCTTTAACTTCTGGTTCCCATCCACCTTCAAGCCCCGGAGAGTTGTACAGAGGTACTACCCACCCCTCGACCTTGTTCAGCATTAAAGCCAAACCCCTGCAAGACCCCTAAGAACCCTTAAAAGAGCTGTTTGAAAGAACCCCTTCTTGAACAGAACCTTCGCCCCAAACCCTTAAACTCTAAACCCTTCTCAGGTTTTTGGCTTTTCGTCGCCTCGCAGCGAGCGACAGCCGCATCGATGCGCAAACGCCGGGCCTCTTCCTCTCCCTCTGCGGCCATGGCTCCAGGTGGCTCTCTACTGAAGGGGTCTTAGAGTAATTCATACCAGCATCCCCTTTCCTTCCTGATCATGGCATCTCAACGAACCTCTTCGAATTACTGAGGATCCTTGCTTACCGTTTAAAGCCTCACAGGCTTACAGGAGGCTGCAGGTCTTCAAGTGTCAAGGGTGGGCGAAGTTTGGGGCTTAGGGTCGAAGCTTGCTGTGTCGTAGGGTCCAGAGCTCAGACCGGATACAGAATCGACTGCTCAGGAAGGTGGTTTCGCCGGGGGCTGATTGGTGAGAGATCAACAGGTTGCAAAGCTTGACTTGTCGAGAAAGCTCAGGCAGGCGAAACAGCATGTCTCGGTATGGTACAAACTTACGCCCACTTGCCTGCACAATTGAGGAGCCAGCACGATTCAGCTGCCGAAGACACGAACCTGCTTAGCCTCAAATCGGAAATCAAAACGTTATAAGCCCTAAACCTCGCCATGGGGAAAGAGCATGGAAAGAGATCACATCCTGCGACTGTGCACGGTTCTCGATGACAGCGCATCTACCTGAAGTCCTGATTTTCTCTTGCCCAAGGCTCCAGGCCAAACTGCAGGTATCTAGATGATTCCGGACTTGTGCCAGGCTTCGGCGCTTGGAATTGGCTATGAACTAACTAATAACTGATATCGTGCACACGTCTGTACCACCAGCCAATTGGCCAGTCATGACCTGCTCCTTCAATGGGATGAAATTCTGCTAAGCAAAGACAAAAACAACTCACGCAGATGGCGAGCTCCGGATTTCAATCGACTCTGTACACTGCCTCTATGTACTTCGGCACATCTACACCTTGCTCTTAACATGCATGCGGGCGCTCAAAACCGCATTGATTATTCGTCTTGTTCAAAACAAAGCCAAACGTCAGCCAAGCCCAGGCTATCACTGTGAGCAGGGGCCCAAAGACAACATCGAATGCATAGGCCTTGTTAAAGCGATCAACTTCCACATGCTGAGGCTCAAGGCTTTTGACCATATCCTTTGACATCTTGCTCGACATGCATACGAACATCATTTCGTCAACTTTCAGAAGGAAGTTCAGGGCCACGCAGTTAAAGATGAGGTCTTGATTAGTCTCGGCATTCACGATCACACTTGTGCCCACATAACTGAGCCACACCGCAATGAGAAATTTGAGTAAGATGAGGATTGCACCAACAATCCTTTCCCACCAACGCACGCGCCGCCTAATGGCAGGCAGCTGGGTCTTGTCCTTCACATTGATGTTGTACTCCACTTCATCAGCAATCCACATCCACACAAGCATGGACCATGTCTCCCAGCCCTCCTGCAACATCTCTGCAATCCAGAATCCTACCGCGAATAGTTGAAGCTTGATACAAATGTCGTGGCAGGGTTCGATCGTATGGTGCACAACCGGCCTCAAGAGGTAGCCCGGCACGCACACTTGTGCAAACATGGCCATCAGACACACCACAACTTCCATCAGAACAGCCCAGACGGCTCTGAGAGCATTGAAAGGCGAGGGCGAAAAGAAGGCATGCCGACACGCAGCACAAGCACTCTGGAATGTCAGAAAAGTGGACGTGTAAGTGCAGGCAGGCAAGCTGAGTGTCCAGGGAATTTGCACAGGTTGGAAAATCTCGCTGCCAGGGCTAGACGACCAAGGAGGAAGCGACATTGACGGCACAGCGCTAGGCGGGTCTTGTGCTCTGCCGAGAGGTCTCCACAGTCGAGCAAATCTGAACCCAGATGCGGCGCGGCCCTCGCACGTGTCTGAAAGAACTGAAATCAGAAATCATCAGGGGAAGCGAAAATCCGATGAGTGAGAAGGCAGAAGAGATAGCATCATGGCACCTTGAAATGAAAGGCACAGACGAGCCTTGGGGAGTCTCTCTGTGCTCTCACTCTCATTCGCCAGTCACACCCAGTCACTGCATACGCAAGTCCTCAGCTGGAAACTACTGAAACGAATGCGGGCACGCTGCCACGTCAAAAACTCTTTCCAGGAACGAGCAGCAGCTTTTTAATGCGGGCGGAACGTGTGTCTCATGAGGGCAGATCCTGGGCAACAAAGGCCATGTAGTCTGCAATGTCTTGCAACTGTGCACTATAGTGACTCTAGTAAATCATAACATCGCTTTACAAGTGTCTATACAGGCATTCGGCTGAGCAGTCTGTGTTAACACCGCCCAACATGCAAAAGCTGTAGACAGACCGAGCTCATGGCAACTGTGAAAGCTCGGCAGCTACAGCTACGTGCTGTCAGCGCGCTGGGCCCGCATCACCTTCATGGATGGACCTGGGTGGCGGAGACTTTGCACTCACCACGGCCGCGAACGCCCTTCTCCTTCTTGCGCTCCGCCTCCACCTTGACACAAGCCTNNCGGCAATGGAGGTCCTCTACCGAGACACGCCGGGCGTCCAGCATGAAACCCGGGTCGGCAGTGACACAGACTTCTGTGGAGCAGACATGGGTCCTCCAGCCCGTGATGGTGTAGTCCGATGCGCCGCTGGTGCAGCCTCCAGTGTTGGTGCGGTGGCCTCCACAGTGACAGTGCCACTCCGCAGCGACTTCGTCGAAGTGTTCATGCTTTCGGAGTCGCCGGCCCAGTTGCAAGAGCAAGCAGCTTCGTCGGCACCGCAGAGCTGGCCGAGATTGCCTGTGTCGGCGAGCACGTTGCCCAGCAGGGAGCCCGCCACGAGGAGCTTGGAAAGCCGGACCATGGCGATTGCGCGGGCGGGCCTGCAAAGAGCGTTCGGAGGCACTGACAGCTTCAGGCAACAGCCAAGGTAGATCACAGATCACGGTGATTGTTTGCTGGAATGCGACACCGAGCAGAGGGGCCTTTTATCTGCAGAGCAGCGAACGACCCGACAACTACCATACCAACACAGGCTCCTATACAGCTACCTTCCGTGCGGAACGCGCAGAAAGCCTTCGAATGCCCTCGTGACCCGCCAATCTGTGGAAGACCGACATGTCGAGCACCCTCCTATTCCAAGCATGCCGTTTTCACTTTGCGCGAATACTAAGCGTGTAACTCATGATAACGAGCAAAGGCAGACCCTGACCAAAAAGGCCTCAAGCTCGCCCGACGTGTAGTCTGCAATGTCTTGCAACTGTGCTTTAGTGACTCTGGTAAATCATAACATCGCTTTACAAGTGTCTATAC